CCCCTCACAGCCCTAATGATAACCCTTCTCTAACTTGATTTCTCAGGTTCAGCCCCAGCCTTCAGTTCCAGTCAAGTTGAGGCTCCAGCTGACACACCAGGTAATATATCACCAGTGACACAGGCTATGGGGTTCCCAGGCCAGATGGAAGCTCCAGAGTGTGGCTACTCAATGTGTGACCAGCAACGTGGGTACACCCAAGGGCTTGTTACAAACGCAACTCTTGGGCACCACCCGGGAATACTGAACACAAATCTGCATTTTAACAAGATCTGTAGGTGAATCATATGCCTGTTAAAGTCTGAGAAGCAACATGCTAAAGGAAGGTGGTTTGGAGAACAAAAGCCACAACCAGACTGAACTCCTGAAAGATGGTAACAAGAGCTAGGAGAACTAGTCCTTCCTCCGGGGTCTCTAGGATTCCTCAGGTATTGACTACCATCACTGGAATGTGCCCCATGATGAGGATGAATTTACTGTCTCCACTCCAAGAATGGAGAAACAAAGACCAGATGAAATAGTAAATCTGTGACTGAAGCAAAATTAAAAGTTAGTTGAAATTAAAACTCATAAGACTGTTTAGATACCTATTACCCATAAGTATTACTGAGGTGGTGGTTTTCCAATTTTTGAAAAAGCTAAGGAATGCTTTCCTCAAACAAAATATTATGCAACACCCCCAAATCACAATGCACGTTAAAGTGGAGCTGTTCTGATGAGTGTTGGGGCGGAGAGCTGAGATGCCTGTTCCTTATTCTCCCAGTCCCAAATCTCAGTGTCCTAAATTAACACCTTGAACTCTGAAGCTCTGGAGTTCTAAGGAATCCCCAAACTCTGGCCACTCAGTCAAACCCTGCTTTAAAAAACCCTATGTCACTTCTCATGGAGGGGATGCCCCAAGGAGATGGAATAGGAGGAGGGAATGTGTGGGGGAGCCAGGGGCTCAGAAATCCAACATTGCAGCCTTTTCTGATGGGAAAGTGTAACCAAGAAAAAGGGGGCATGAAATGGAAATGAGGCTAGACTTTGGAGATTCCCACCAGCTTCCTCCTTAGAGCTGGAAGAACAGACCCTGGTCTCCCCTAGCCTGAACCCTCCTTCCTTGGCACCCTGGGCACAGGAGGAGGAATAAAAAAGTTTTGGGGACACCACTGTCATCCCTGTCCCTCTTCCCTCCCCCAGCACCTCTCCTCAGTGCCCAAGGTCTGCTTCTTTTATTTCTCCACTATCTCTCCAGAGTTTCCTCTTTTGGAGACTCTGCCGCTACCTGAGTTCATGCTGTCATCAATTTTTTGTTTTATTAAACAGGTTCTTTTTTTAATTGAAAAGTCACATATTCACATGGTATAAATTAAAAATAATCTCCTTCTAAATCCCAATCTCCAGCTCTCCCTGAAGAGACCTCCATCGTTAAGATATATGTATGTCTAAATCCTTTCAGAGCATTTTAATGCATTTACAAGCCATATATTCTTCCTTTGATTACACATATGGGAGCCATCTATAACATTTTTCTGAATCTGCTTTTTTAACTTAACAGTAGATCCTAGCAATATTAGCATACGTAGATTAAGACTGACTCCCATTTATTCCATTCCACAGATGTACCTTAATTTATTTAACAAGTCCTTATTAACAAACATTCCCATTCCTTGTAACTGCTTCCCTGAAATATTGTGAATAGTTTCCTAACTGGCCATTTCCTCTCCAGAACTTTTCCTTTCTATCGCTTCTGCTCCCCCTTTGAAAAGCTTAATTCTGACTGCTCTAAAACCATCAATGGCTCCTCATGGCTTTGTCTGTTACTCAAAAGGCAAGATAATCTAGTGGTCATGTGTATGAGTCCTGAGGTCAGATAATCCTGTGTTTCTATCCTAGCTCTCCTCCTTTTTAGTGATCTTGGGCAATTCAGTCTCTAAGCCTTAGTTTCCTTACTTTGCAAAATGAAGGCACCAACCTCTCAGTTGCTGTGAGGACTGCGTGGGGCAGCACCCACCGTGTGCACTCAATAGGTGATAACTATGATTATTGCTCAGTATTGGGCCAGGCCACCTTTTGTCTACTTTTTTCCTACACAAAGTGCATAGGGAGCAGTATTGAGTAACAGTTAAGAACACCAGGGACCAGATTACCTGCATTCAGATCCTGCCCCTCCCACTTACTTGGGCAAATATTCAACATTTATGTGCTCTAGTTTCCTCATCTGTGAAACATAAATAAGAATAGTTATTGTCTAGGCTTCATGGGGTATTATGCAGGTTAAATGAATTTATTCATGAAAAACATTTAGAACAGTGACTGACACATAGTAGGCACTTAATAAATGTGAGCCATTATTATTCTACACTTAGATCAAATGGGTTGCTTGATATGTCCCAAAGGCAGTAGACATCCACCCAGTTGTTCATAGCGGGCACCCATTCTGATTGTCCTATGCCCAAACCATTGTGGTTGTCAAATATTTTAAGTGTCATCCTTTCCCAGAAGAGAGGGTGCCTCAGGTTTCATGCCTGCCTTTAATCATGCTGTTCTTTCCACCAAGCATACACTGCCATTCAACAAAGTCCTGCCCCAATGTCAAGGCCTACCTTAATTCTACCACTTCACAAGTTCTTCTCTGCTTCCTAACCAGAGACCATCTCCTCTCACTTCTGCACTTTCCTCATACTTTTCCTATGACACTTGTCACAGTTGGCCTTACATTAGTTGATTTATGTATAGATCTGACCCCCAGGTAGACAGTGTACTCCTTCAAGAGGTCTAACTCACCTTTGTGTTTCCCCAGAGTACCTGTCATGGCAGTTAGGATGGTTTATTCAACGGGGCCAGTCCTGCTCACTGAGAGCTCCTAAGTCCATCACATATCACACTCGATGAATGCTTATCAAGTGAATGAATAAGTGAATGCTTGAAAGGGAGAAGGAAGGGGTAATGGAATGGAGTCCTGTGAGGGAAGACAGGAAAACACCTTCTCCTCCAGTTCTCTAGGTCTCATCTGGGGTAGGAGTCAGAGCAGCTTGGATTCTTGCACCAAGCAAGAGAGAGAAGGGGGCTGGCACATATTTTACCAACCCTGCACAATGTGTTCCAGAGCCCACTGCTGACCACACAGTATATTCCATGCTCTCCCAAGGGTATGAGAAGATGGACACTTTCCCTAAGACTGCCAGGCACATCTCTGACAGCAGCTCTGACAGCAATGGGACAACTGAGGAGGATGAGGAGAGGACAGAGATGCACCAGCCCGTCAATGGAAGAGACCAGGTGTGTGATTTGGTCACTCAGGAGGATGCTGGACATGACTCGGACTCTGAGGGGCAAGCAGAGTATGATCTCGTCACTCCAGATGACACGACACCGGCGCTTGCGATTGAAGGGGAAACTGTGTATACACAGGTGTTCCTAGACTTTCAGGTGAGCTCTTTTGATCAGTACACCTTCCCTCCCCCTCCCCATTCTAGGACCATGCAGTAACCTGAAAGACTAATCTCTCCAAACTGGGGGACAGGACCAGCAGTGCAAGGGCAGAGAATTGTGATTCTATCCATGTTTACCAACCTTGGGGTCCCTTGAAATAAAGGAACTTGGCTCCCATTCTTGGGCCATAAATAAGGGAGGTGTTGGGAAACCAGAGGCACTGTTTCCACTGCACTAAGGCAGTTCCCACCCTCTATGTGTAATCAGAACCTGGTGGGGTGCCCCTTTTCCTCAAGAGTTGAGGGTGAATCTCTGGAAAGCTCTCTCTTGTCTGGTGATTATGGATATCCTGGTGTTGGTCTGTTACAGGGACAGACCCCAGTTCCTCAGAAGAAAGAGAGGTCAGCCACAATCTACTGCTCTATACAGAAACCTCAGAAGGTGAGAACAATTTTCTCTGTATCCTGAGGCCCATAAAATGAGGAAATATTGCCCAGACCATTTTAACTGAAAGCAGAGGAGCTCAAGTTCCACTCACTGTGTGCCCCCCTGACACACTCCATGGTTCATAGAGATACTGAAACAAATACTCCTGATTTACATCTGTGTGGCCAAAAGCTGAACATTTCAAATTAATTTAATGATATCTTATATTGATTAATCTTAACACTACCAAAATAAGAGTCTGTAGACCCAAACACTGTATGGTCCATGTACGTTTCTAAATCTATCTCTAATCCATCAAAATGGCAACTTCCCAAAACAATTGGAAATTAGCCAACAGTCTAATGTCAAGATTTTTCGGAATATGTGCTATTAACTACAGCACATTGGTTTCATTAGAGTGTTAAAACATCCCTTAAGCATAGAATTTCCCATTAATAATAAGTTTATATAAAGTTTTACAGTTTACAAAGCATTAGCAAACATATTCTCATCTGATCCTTAAAACAACTCTACAAGTGTGCTGTCATCCAAACTTTATAGCCAGAGAAGCTGAGATTCAGGAAATTAAATTTGCCTAAGTTCACACAGATAGTGGTTGGAATTTCAATATTAAAAACCACAAGGGGTTTTTAAATAACCCTGAAAAGTCTTAAACAATTAACCTTGATCTGAATCTGGCTGTCCATTCCACTTTCACTTTCCTGGAAATATTGGGTCCATTCATACTTTTGCTTTCAAGTCTCCCCCAGAATTTCCTCCCTGTAATATGTTCGAGCAAGATTTTTTTTTAACTCTCAAAGTTTTTCAATTATGCTACTTCTCTGTGATTGATGAATCAATCAGTAGATATTTATTGAATACCTTTTGCTTGCCCAGAACTGGTCTGAGTGCTATGGGGATTCAAATATGTTTAAGGCACCACTTTTGACTTTGAAGACTTGTAATCTATCTTTGATGTAGGAGAGTTGGATTGATTTAGTCACCTGAAAGATGACAGAAAATACTCTATGTGACTACTTATTATGTGTGCAGTTCCCAAGGGTTTTTCGGACATTGGAAATGGTAGACGGAACTGCATGGAGGTAGCCAGGAAAGGCTTCATAAAAAAATAATTTGGATAGGGTCTTAAAAGATGGATAGAATTTGCTCAGTAAACACTTGTGCAAATACACAGTTTGGTTCAACCATCATCTGCCTCATGTCCCGACTTCTAGAGCATGGCCTAATGCCTAGCCAGCTAGGAACTTTATCTTTGGCCTCAGGGTCAAATCTGTACTGTTCACTACATTCACTAAAGCTGCTTGGGCCTGGCCTTTTGCATTTGGGGCAATACTGGTCAATCTTAAAGTCATGGACAGCAGTCCCTGCTCTGAGTTTCAGAATGGTCATGTGACCCCCCACCTTGTCTGGTCAGTCCTGCATGACTCCCACACCACTCCAGGAACTCAAGACCCCTAAAACCACCTTCACCCACAATATAAGTGGAAATCAGTGCATTTCCTCAGCCAAACTCTAGAATTTATTCCTTGCCCTCAGAATTTTCAGGACCAGGAATTCTGGTTCTTGGTCTCTGAAGGCCATTATTTCCCACTTGATCAGGAAATTCTCAAACCTACTTTAGTTATTTTCTGACACTTGTCTCTGCATGATATCTCAAAGAAGGATTGTGCTATTTCCAAGCTATTGATGGTACTTAACCTCCTTTCTGCATCAGCTCAAGTCTCATCTTCTCTTTAGAGCTTTTCCTGAACACTGTCAGACAAGGGATCCTCAGAACCCTTGGAATATGAAGGTCTAATGGTTTGGACTATTATTTTGGAACTTAGCCTCTATCACCTGAATTATCTTTATATAAATGTCTGCATTGTTTCTCTCGCTAGGGTAGAGACTGGGATCATTAGACTGTAGCTTCATGAGAGCCAGGCCTTTTATTGTCATTTTTGAACACCCTCAATTTGCTGCACTAAATTGTCTTATATCTCCCTTCCAAAGAGCCTAGCGCATGGCGCTCACCATTAGGAGATTCTCCATAAATGCTTGTCATCAGCTTGGATAATTGCTTTATTAACCATATTATTGTGTGTCTTTTGGCTCACAGGTGGTGCCAGCACCGCAACAGAATGATCTTGAGTTTCCTGAAATATCTACCTATGAAAATGTCCCCTGAAAAGCAGCTGCCTCCCTCCATGAGGTTGCAGTGCTGGACCTAATAGGGCCTGGGGCTCCCGCAGGCAGAAGCACTTCAAAATTTCCTTCAGTGTCTCAGCAATGTCTGGATTTGTGCCTCCCCCTTCCTCTCACCCCCATGACTTCCCAAACCCATCTCCATTTGTCTCCTTGCATGCTCATACTGTTTCTGCCTCTCAGCTCAGATACACACCTCAGAACTCTGCCAAGGCTTGTCATGTTGTTGAAGGGGACCTGGACCTTCACATGTTCCTCTAAAGAGCTGCTAAGATAAATCCAACTGATATTCTCACTTACAGACACAAAGATCTAGGTAAAATCATGACCACAGTAGTATTTTTTTAAATAAAAGGCTACAAATAACCTAAGTGTCCATTTAGTAGGAATCTGGTTAAGCACATGAAAGTATACCCATGCAATGGCAAAACCTGCCACTTCTGTAAAGAAAGTAAAGACTAATATGTGCTAATATAGAATGAGCTCTAAGATACATTGTTAATGGAAAGAACAAAGTCTTGGATAGTGTGTATCATATGCTACCAGTTGGATAAAAAAAATAACTATGTTTATATAGGTAAAGAAAAGTTCTGAAAGGAAATACAAAAATCTTATCAGTGGCTGCCTCTGTGGAGGGAACTGGATTGGCTTGGGGATTTTTTTTTTTTTTTTTTTTTTTTTTTTTTTTTTTTTTTTTTTTTTTTTTTTTTTTTTTTTTTTTTTTTTTTTTTTTTTTTTTTTTTTTTT